AATTATCTTTGTTTGCTCTACATGTTGGAAAAAACTAGTCAACTTTGTTTGCTTAAGCGATTGTAGTTACTTTTCCGTTTGTAATCCCAATTTCCTTTAAAAGATTGTCAAAAATCTCTGCAAATCAAATATTCATGCCAGATTCTAATTAAAGCTGAAAACTGTTCTTGCAAACTCAAATTTAAATATCACTCAAGACGATCAGATCTTCACCAATTCACAGATTACACTAAGAGCAGGAGTGCTTCCCTGTATTTGCCTTAAATATGTCTGTCCAATTACTGAAAGGAGAATGGGATAAATGCATGAATTTGCAAGGCAGCTAGCTCATCGTCTTTCTAAATGGAAAGACATCACATGACTGAGTAAACTCAAACAGTAAATAAAAGCGGGCGAAATACATAAAGGGGACCTACTGATAATTTTTTCATTATTTCAACCTGGAAAATTTTGAGAAGATGACAGCATAATGAGTGAATGCTACATTGTCCAATCTTGAAAGGCAATCCTTATACTAAAATAACTAATTGTGAATAAGCCCATCCTAGAATTTTTATCCACAGTGACAGGTGGAAAACTGCAAACTGTTCCTGACGTTATTTATAAAACCACACAATTTTAAGGCCATGATGCAGTTTAAAAATCTGAGCTCTGATTTGCAGGTAATTGCTTTATCTGCTAATATATACGGTAGGTTATTATAACTGAAGAGTAAGAGTGGTATAAAGTTGGGTTTTAATTGAGAGTTGTCATTTGTGCATTTTTTTCTTCCAAATTAATTCAGAATAATTTCACAATTCACCTCAGTCTGGACTTTGATCATAAATTTTGTACACAGAAAATCAAAGTGATGAGAAATTATTCCGAATGTTCTTATTTTAAAAACGATCAGGAACATCCTATAAAAAGAAACTAAGACAAGGAAATGAAGAATCTAGGGAAACAGGATGATAATCCATATCAACAGTGTCTTTTTCACAAATATTTCTTTCTGCTCTCATCTAACAGAATCCCCAAACAAAAAACACTCTAAACAGAATTACCTTGTTTTCCAAAGCTACCAACCTAGAAATTTGTACACTCTAAGGGAAAATAAAACAAATCAATGACTTGCAGGAGCTAAATAAGTCCTACTTCTCATAGTAACAAACAACAACCATCTCATTTTCACTTAATAACTTTGGACAAAGTTATTAACTTTGGACAATACTCCATCAAACATACACACTAAGACTGTAGTCAGATACTCAGGAGTAAGCCAGGAGGAATTGAAAAGAATTAGAATTTCAAATAAACAAGTATAAATGTACACTTAGAACAGTGGGACAGATATAATATTGCCAACATGCCAAAACTTTTACATTTTCATCTCAGGAAAAAAACAACTTATACCTGATGAAGTTCAACAGCAGTGCAATAAGATATATAGTACAGTTATAGTATGGTTATAGTATCATTTTTTTCCTTATTTAAAATAGTAAATTAGCCATTACTGTAATCATGATCTACTTAACTGTCAAAACCCAAAATCAAAGTTTCTTTTTTTTTCTCTTTTGAGCAAAAAATCTAAAAGCAGTTTCCAAGTGGAAACCACAGCATTTGTTTCCCTAGTTAATGCAGTTAACTTTGCCATCTCTGTCAGTTCCATCATCTTTTCAATCCATTCCTCCATTGTGGGAATTAACGCTTCTTTCCATTTTTGAGCATTTAGGATTCATGCTACAGAAAATATATATAATAACATCATTCCAATTTTTCCCATCTATTTATCCAATAGTACTTAAAAAAAACCTTTCTGATTTCCACTGTAAATCCATTTCAAGGATCTGAATTAAAACATGGATCTGTTCCCAATATTCCTTTGCCTGATCAGACATCCAACATATATGATTAAAAAACACCTTCCTTACAGTTACATATTCAGCAAATATTCAAAACAATTTTGTACATTTTAGACAATTCATCTAGTGTTAAATACCACCAGTCCACCATTTTATAAAAATTCTCTTTAAGATTATAATTCAATGTATATTTCAATCCATTGGTCTACAATTTTTCCCATTGGTCCAAAAGTATATTATAGCCAAAATTTCTTCCCCATTAAATCACACAAAGCTTAACATATTCACTTCCTAAATTTAATCTCAGCAGTATTGTATATATGTTAGCTATAAGGTGTTCATCATTAGTGCACTACAATTGGCAAAATGATTTTTAACAGCTTCAAAACCAGATAGTTTCTCATCTGCAATAATGCTTTCTTTCAATTATAAATAGAAATATAAGACCAGTGGCTTGTATGTTCTTCTAATTCCAAGTCTAGGGATACTTTTAAGCAATTCTACACCACATAAGTATGAGTAGATTTGCATTAGAGGGCAAGGAGTTGGATTTGGATTTGATTGACTGGTGTCTTACAATATTGTTAATTATTATGTTATATTTTCAGCTAATCATTTCTATTTTTGTTGTAATATTTTGCCACCTCTGCTCAAGTCACACTTGAGCATAGGCAGCAAACAATTGTATACAAAAAACATTAACTTGTAAACAATTGGATTCAAAAAATATAAGTTCCAAACAATTGGATACAAAGAACCTAAGTTGAAAGATATTAGATGTGATTTGTTTGATCTGCAAACAATACTTTTTTCAGTTTATTACCATTTCTATGAACTGCTCTAGCTCATTTGCCACATCATCACTACATGAGGAAGTTGACAAGAAAAGAAGTAGTGAGGAGGAATGTAAACTATTATCAAATCCTGGATTTATTACATGATATAGCCAGTCCACAATTAAAGTATGCAGGAAATGACTTTAAAATTATTCACATAGGATGCCACTTTGGAATACCTTTCCCCCCCACATCTTGCTATTTATTCATCAATAAAGTGGTTTGGTTTGAAGTGCTAATTTTTGATATTTCTGAAATGGAATCAAGATCAGTGAACTAAGTCATATCTTCCCTGAATACACAAATACAAAAGTGCTGCTAAGAAAGGATGGTTTATAGCACCTTACAAAGGAAAAAAAATCATAGGAGAATTTGGGAACTATTAAGAAGAAAATAAATAAAGATAAGAACTATAGCAGAGCAAATCTTGAAACACAACACAAACACACAAAAGTAACTTAAAGAGACAAAGATCTTTAAAAAATCAGTAAGAACACGCTGACTTAATTCAAGATAAGTTTTTATTAAGTGCATAATGACATTTATCACCCTGCAGGGGGTTGTTAGTTTTTCAAGGAGTAAAATAATACATTCTCCCTCTGGGGCTAAAAGCAATTTGTCGGTAAGGAAATTTCAATAAAGAAAACAATACAAGAATCAGACTCTCCTCTTTTGACTTATTTTCCCAAAAATATTGAGATTCCTGTAACTATATTAAAATCATATTCCTATATGTACATTAAAATAAAAGCAAATTGCCATATATTAGGTAATTTAAACATTGAGCACTCAAAAGAACACATAATTGATCTTCCTTATGAATAAGTTTATACAATATTTTTCAGAAGTGTTGCGGCTTTTTAAAGATTTAAAAAAAAAATATATCAGAAAAGCTACAGTAATATTCTTATGCCATAATGTATTAATAGTGTATTGATACTGAAGGTGCTACAAGACTCATTATTTTTGCTCCCAGAATTAATGTTTAAAAATGTCTGCTCATATTTTATGAGTATGTATAAAATGTGAATGAAACAGATGTTTCTTTTGTGTATCTCAGAGAGGCAGAACTGGCTGCAAGGTCCATTTATGATCTGTGGCAATCACAGGCTTGCCACAACACAACAGGTACAATGTGCTATGAGAAAAGGATCAAATCTCTGAATTTTTCTGGGTATCTTGGGTCCAATCCCATTTAAAGTTCTACAATAAAAAGATAATATCCATCACAGAATATTATGACGTCATGGTAACAAAATGGAAACCATCTAAGAAAAACTGCCTACAGGCCTTTGCCATGTTGAATAGGACACACAGCGTGACAGGAAAGGAATCCTCATTAGTATATAATCTTTTACAGAAGATTAAGGGACTTCTCAAAGCCAAGTAAGGACTGGATAACGTTGACATGTGACAAATGACCTGAGATTCACTTGAGAATGACTGTGGGATTTTAGAATGAATATAGGAGCGATGTGCTGCAAAAGGGAATTCTGCCAGCGGGTTATGTATTACAGGAAAAAGTAAAAGGTAACTTTGCACTGTGGGATTCTATTCCGACACGGGTTCTCTAACCAATTATTAACAATTAGATGCATCCAGGACGACATAATAAAAGATTCTAGAAATTTAGAGAAAGATGGTGGAAGGAACACACAACCACTTTGCTCTACAGTTTATTACTGATTTAAGTATTGTGAATTTTGGAAACGTTTGTTTTCCAGTGGTTTTATACCTGTGTGGCTCGTATCTTTGTTAGTTCAGCCGTGGCCCTCCAACCTTTCATCTGCAAGTTGGACACGGAACCACCATGCGTTATTAACAAGACCAACAATCCAGCTCAGGGTCGCTCGTAACACGTGACCCTTATCAGACTCGTAACGTGAGGCGAGCTTGGAGTGGCAGAAGAAAGTAAATAAATAAATAAAAAGAACCGAGGCGTGCAGTTTGTGGATACGAGCGGGGCTTAGGGGTAGCGGGAAGGGAAAGAGAACCGTTCAAAGCCGCCCGTGAGGCGGAGTATCTGGATTCTGACATCGAGCCCTCCTGGTGCTGCTTCGACGCCGTTTCAGCCTCTAGGACGAATGTCAGTCTCAATCCCCTTCTCGCAGCTTCCCTTCGCGCGAAACCACTCGCTTCTACCTTTCCCACCACACACCTGCGGTGCCCGTCGCGACGCGCGTTCCCCGAGGCGGCGGGGCCGGCGTCCTCACGTGCCGCTAATCCCCCCCCAAAGCCAAGAATAGCGGAGAAAGAAACGGGTCTGGCTTCGCCCTCCTCCCCGCCCTGCGCAAACGTGCCGGGGCTTGGCGCTCGCTTTTACCTTCGAAGAAGCGCTGCAGAGCCTCGGTCTCGTCCACCACTTCCATAGCTGGGCCATGCACCAAGCGGTCGGGCTAGTCGCCGAGGCCGCACAGGGGCATCCCCCCGGCCAGGGCGCCTCGAGCGCGCAACACCGGCGGCGCGCGCCCCGGAGCCCTTGTAGCCCTGGGACTTCGCGCTCGGCTCCCCGGACTCTGGCCTCGAGCTGAGGCGTGCCTCCGTCGCCTGGGCAGAAGCCACACGCTTTCCTCCGGGGGGCGATTGGCTCCCGGGCTCCCCCAGCCGGTACTTCACGGCGGCCTTTTCCCCCCCACCCCACCCCACACCGCCGCTTGGCACTCAACTTCTGCGGACGCTCCAGCTTCTCCCCTCACGCCCTCCTCGCCTCTTTTTCTCCGCCTCCTCCTCCTCCCGCCTCCACTGCTCCTGCTCTCTGCTGGCCAGAGCGGGCACGACGCGAACGGCTGCCTGGGTGTCGCAGCCGTTCCTGCCTTGCCCTGTCTGCCATTTGTTTTAGTGTAGTGGTGAACAGAATAACAGGAGTTGGAAGGTGCATTGTGTTGTGTCCGGCGCAAGGAAGGAGGCTCGGAGCCAGTGACTTAGTTCAGCTCATTTATTGGTCCTGAGATAGGCTCGGGCTCCATAAGGAAAAGCAGCGGCTTTTATTCCTTGGCCGCCGCGGCTGCGGCCAATGGTACCGCTTTGAATCTCCCGCGATTAGTTTCCACCAATCGCGGGAGATTTGCGGCGGGCCAATCAGCGCGGCTCGCTCGGCCAATCAGCTCGCCGTGCGTCTTGACCAATCGCTGTGCGGTTCTACAAGAATGGTAATGACCGTACAGAACACCCCTCCCCTCTTGGTCTGGTCTTATGTAACGTAGTCCCGTAAGTAGGCGGGGCTACGCACTTGTCTACTTGACCTGTGCAGGTTAGTTGGTGCTTGGCTCCCGGCCGGTTCGGTCGGGTTCTGTGTTGCTCCTCGTCCTGTTGATAGAACGTCTGGAAGTCTGAGCCGGGCCTTTTGTCACAGCTCCCTCCCGGTCTACCCGGGCTGGTTGAGCTGGCCTGGCTGCTTCTCCCTGGTGAGGTGTCGAGTTGGCTGCTTGCCGGTGAGTATTCCTGGTTTCTTTCTAGTGGTGTTTGGTTCTTTGGGCCTTCCCTCCCCTCTTGGTTTGTGTTGGGGGGGTTCCCTTCTGTGTTTGTTTCTGCTTGCGTGTCAGTTGTGTTTCCCGTGGCTATTCTAGACCTTAGTTGGTCGATGTGTCGTTTCCATGCTCGTCCGTCGGTTGTCTGTAGGCGGTACGAGCGGGGACCTGTCACTTGGGTTATGGTTGCTGGTACCCAGAGTGGGTCTCCGGTGAGGTTTTTTGCGTATACCGCGTCGCCTGTTTTAAAGGTTCGGTCTCTGCTTGAGGAGTTTGGGGGTTTTTCCGGGTTGTATGTGGGGTGCAGTCTGTCGAGTGGGGATCTTAATTTCCTCCCCATCAATAGTTCTGCCGGGCTTTTATTGGTTGTTGTATTCGGGGTTATGTGTTGTATAAAGAGCATTTTGTTTATTTTTTCTTGGATTTCCCCGTTTTCTATTTTTTGGATGGTTTTTTTTGTAAATTGAACCATCCGTTCCGCCCTCCCGTTCGCCGCCGGATGTGCCGGCGCTGTCAACGCGTGTCGTATTCCCCCGTTCCGCTAGGAATTTTTTTAATTCCAATGAGGTAAATTGGGGCCCTTTGTCGGATACGAGGACATCTGGGAGGCCGTGGGTTGCAAATAGTTTGCTGAGTTCTTTGGTGACAGCCTCCGTGGTGGTAGTTCTCATGTTGCTTACCTCCAACCAGTTGGAGTAAGCGTCTACCGTGATGAGGAAGGTGTGTCCTTTTGTGGGCCCGGCAAAATCTATGTGGATCCTGGACCATGGTCCCCTAAGGGTTTCCCATTCCAGGATTGGGGCGGCGGGAGGGCTGGGTCTGGTTTCCTGGTATCTGTTGCACGCTGCCACCCAGGCCTCGATTTGTTTGTCCATCCCTGGCCACCAGGCGTAACTTCTGGCCAAGGCCTTTGTCCTAACGATGCCCGGGTGCCCCTCATGCAACAATTCCAAGACTTTTCCCTGTAATTTTTCCGGAATAACAACCCGGTCCCCCCAAAGTAAACACCCTTTTTGCAATGACAGTTCCGTTTGTCGGTTCCGGAATGTCCTGAAGGTCTCGTTGTCGTCTTTTTCGGGCCACCCCTTCTCTACCCAATGCAATACCCGCGCCAGACGTTTGTCTTTATTAGTTTCACAGGCAATGTCTGACGCGGTTATGGGTAGATCGGGCAGAGTCTCTATGCTGAGTGTGGTCGTCGTGGGTGCTGGGTCGATGTCGAAGTCTGGTAGCGGCGTGCGGCTCAGGGCGTCTGCGTGGGAGATTGTCTTACCGGGTCGGTGTGTGAGCCGGTAACTGTAGGCTGCAAGGAATTCGGACCACCTTGTCATTCTAGGGGATAGAATGTTCAGGGTGGCCCTGTTCCCTGCCAGGATTCCCAGCAGCGGCTTGTGGTCGGTGATGATGGTGAAGGCTCGGCCGTAGATGTATTCGTGGAACCTTTTGACAGCGGCAACGATGGCCAGGGCCTCTTTGTCCAGCTGACTGTAGTTCCTTTCCGGTTTGGTGAGGGTTCGTGAGAAGAAGGCGATGGGTGCTTCCTTTCCGTCGGGGAGAGTGTGGCTGAGGACGGCGCTGACACCAAAAGGTGATGCGTCGCATGTGACAGCTAGCGGTAGGGTCTCGTTGTATTGGATGAGGACGGCATCCGAAGTGAGCAGGTCCTTGGTTTTGTTGAAGGCGGCTTCCTCGCGTTTCCCCCAAGTCCATGGAGCCGCCTTGTCCAGGAGCCTATGCAAAGGCTCTGCCGCGGTCGCCTTCTGGGGCAGGAAAACATTGTAAAAGTTAAGTAGTCCTAGAAATGCCTGTAGTTCCGTTTTATTCTTTGGTCTGGGGGCTTCCTTGATCGCTCTGATTTTTTCCTCGGTTGGGTGAATTCCGTGCCGATCTAGGAGGTACCCCAGGAACTCGACTCTCTCGGTGTGTAATTGGCATTTTTCTTTCTTAACCTTCAGCCCTGCATTTTTGAATTTGGTTAGGACTTCCCTCAGGCGACCCTCTAGTTCTTTCTGGTTGGTTGCCGACACCAGTACGTCGTCGAAGTAGGGCACCACCCCCTTGATTCCTTGCAGGAGTCTCTCCATGAGGCTCTGGAATATTCCTGGGTCCACGCTGACTCCAAACTGGAGTCTCTTACAGCGGAAAGCCCCTCGGTGGGTTACTATGGTTTGCGCCTCGGCCGTTTCTGCGTCGACCGGCAGCTGCTGATAGGCTTGAGCCAGGTCGAGCTTCGCAAAGACCTTGCCTCCCCCCAGTGAGTGTAGGAGGTGCTGCACTACTGGGACGGGGTAGGCGCTTTGCTGTAAGGCGCAATTTAGGGTGGCCTTATAGTCCCTGCAAATTCTCACTGACCCATCAGGCTTGACGGGGGTGACTATGGGGGTCTCCCACCGGGCATGGTCGATTGGCTCGAGGACCCCTTGTTTGACGAGCTTGTCTATTTGCTCGTCGATTTTTGGCCGGAGTGCAAATGGCACTCGCCATGGTTTTAGGCGAATGGGGGGAACGCTGGGGTCTAGGCTGAAGGAAATAGGGGGACCTCGGTACTTGCCTAGGGTGCCGTCGAACACTTCCTGGAAGTCTCTCGCGAGCTGCTCTTCCCAGTCGGCTTCCCCGACGTGGTCGATTCCCGTCACCTCGATTCCGAGCGGCGCGAACCACTGCAGTCCCAAAAGGCTAGGGCGGTCTCGGTCCACAATCGTCAGGGGAAGCCTTGCTGTTCGCCCCTTGAAAGTCACCTCGAATTGGCCTGTTCCGACTACCGGTATACGATTCCCTTGGTAGTCCTTGAGGATCAGGCTCTGGCTTTCCAGCCCCTTCCTGTGGATGGCGGGCACCAGGCGCTTTATTTCCCGCCATGCAACCATGGAGAGGTAGGACCCGGAGTCCACCTCCATTTTGCATGGCTCGCCCTCGATGCCCACCTCCACATATACTTTCCAGGTGTCTGTGCTGGAGGAGTGGCCGATGACGACCGTCTGGTGGGTTTCCTCTCTCCGCCTGTTCCCGCCGTCTCGTCGGCCCCATCCGTCTCGGCTCCATCGGCTCTCAGCTTGGCGGTCTCTGGGCCTGGGGGGGGGTGCCGTCTCGTCTCCGGTTGCTGCCGTCTCGTCACCGGGGGCTGTAGTTCTTCTTGAGTCGGCAGACTCGGGCGATGTGGCCTCTCTTGTCGCAGTGCCGGCATATTGCGTCGAAGAATCGGCACTCTGCTCGAGGGTGGTCACCTCCGCACCCGGCGCACGGTTGCCCCGACTTACGACTCCGTCGATCGCGCCGGTCCCGGTGCACCTGGAGTCGATGCACGTCCTCTTCCCCGTCGGTGGCGTCGGAGGCGGAGTCGAGGTCGCCATGGTGTGTGGTGGTCTCTCGGCGGCTTGTTTCAGAATGCGTCTCGGTTGCTGTGCCTGCCTCGGCGGTCGCGCTTCGGTCCCCGGTGTCGTATCTCCACATTCGGGCCGCTGACTTCCTGGTGGCCTCGGCTGCGGTGGCGTCTGCGAGGATGTCGGCGAGGGCGATGTCGCCTTTTGCCATCAAACGGCTCTTGAGGACTGGGTCTCTGAGCCCCAGGACGACGCGGTCTCGGAGAGCCTCGTCCATGTCCGTAAAGCCACACATGCCTCCGAGATTCCGTAGGTTGGCCACAAAGTCTCCGATGCTCTCGCCCACTCACTGGTCTCGCCGATAGAAGTCGTGCCGCCGGATGAGGGTGGGCACGTCGGGGGCATAGTGGTTTCGGAGTAATGGCGCGAGGTCGGCCCAGTCCATTGTCTTGACGTCCTCTGGTTTCGCGAGGGCTTTAGCCATTTGGAACACTGCGGGCCCGCAGTGCGTGAGGAAAACAGCCCTTTTCTTCTGCCCGTTTGCATCCTTCAGGTTGCTACTTTCGAGGAACATCAGGAATC